CTCATCAGGATCTCAGCTTCGGTATATGCCAAGCGGTCTTTGGGGCCAAATTTCAGTAATAACGGTAGAAGGCTTGCCTCCAAGGCAGGACAGGAGCTCTAAGCTAGCAAAGAAGTTAAGCATAGCCTTAGCTTTGCTGATTTGCGGTGATTGCAGTTGAATTTTGCAGGATTTGCTTCTCTGCGTTTGTGTCTACCTATATAGCATTTCTTGGTTGAAGGTCTGTTTTCATCAGCCCTTATGAAAACATATGTTTTATAGGGAAGAAAATGAAATTATTACATACATGCATGCTATATGTCTCTGAAAAAATTCAACTCTAAGATACAACATTCTGGCAGAAAAATGCTCTCAAACCTGTGATAATGCATTGATTATGTTTTAAAATGAAAGTATTTTTAGGTAGTCTAGTATGGGATAGAAACCTGGAATATTACCGGTATCAATCACTAGCACACATTGTAAATGAAAGCATGAAATTCAAGACTAAGCAGGGCCCCCTTTTCAGTGCAAAATCTAAAGCTCCATGCTATCTGGGCCAGATTTATAAGAGAAAGCAGTCCCTTAATGAACCTAATCCTATTAACAGAATTGTCAACTTAGGTTTGTCATCAGAAAGATGTTCTTAGCCATGAGACATTTGATCTATGGACAACTTTTTCATCTTCGGAGTATTCAATTCATCACCTTCATACAAAACATTCTTTAAAAATTATATAAGTACATAAATATTTTAATTTAAAACAAAACCACACCAAACTCTTTTATTCACTTACTGCCTTTTTCCTGAACTGGGATCCGGTAATCAGTTAACTTCAAGGTCTAAACACAGGGGCTTGAGGTGATGGTACCTGTGATACAGGAGAGGAACATCTGATCCCGGGCCTGTCCAGCCTGTCCAGAGACACAGGCTGCAGCATGGTGACCTCCCCCATGGGCCCCACTACCCTTTTCACATCACTGGTCTGCACCGTGTGTCCACCATGTCACCTCTAAAGCCACTGCTCTCTCTCAGGGTATTGTCACATCAGTGCTGAGTGTTGGGGGTTGTGATAGAAGAATTTCTAGCACCTCAGGAAGTGACTGTGTTATCTGCTCCAAGCAGGTGGATCCCTTCCCCTAGTCAAAGGACTGCTCTACAAGATTCTCAGTTACTGAACAGCAGGATGTTTTTTGTTCATTGATATTTAGAGAGAAGGAGTATTCAGATGCAATCAGGTGTCTTTTCAATAACAAGTGCTGCTTAAGACATTAGAAAGGAACGCTTCTTACTGTGAAAGGGACATGGAGGCATGTAATCTCAAACGGCTCTTGCTCTATTGTGCTGTGATGGGAATATTGTTAAAACTTGATTTAATGAATAGTGCTGTTCCAGAATTAAAGGATTTTTCACTGTATGCAGTGAAAACATTACATAAGCTCTAGCTGTGCTGCGGGGGATGCGTATTGACCAGGCAGAAAGAGAATCTTGTCTTGGGCAAAGCTCTTCACTGCGCACAGGCTTTATGTAAGTATGTGAAAACAAGTACTTGCTAAGCTTGAAGAATTCTTTTGCTGATCCAAATGTTTTCTTGATAGGCCAGAGTGAAACAGCTGTGGATCCACTGTGGAAAATGGAGTCATGATGTGTCTGTCAGGACTGCTCCCTGGGAAGGTGCAGGCCGGGGCGATGGGCGCCGCGGCACAGGCTGAGCCCACAGCCCCCGCGCGGCCCCACAGGCTGGAGGAGCTGGGGCTGGTGGCAGGGCCCAGGGATGCTCCGGGAAGGCGAAGCATGGTCTGTCCTGGGAAACCAGTCACCACGCCAGGCTCAGCGGGGACCAGCTTGGCACAGGCACAGCTGTGACCTAGCGGGGGCCTGGCACATGCTGAAATGGGGTTTTGGAGCCCCGGGTGCAAGGGGATTCTCCCTGAGGCCAGTTTGGGCAATGACATGGTGGTGCCTGCGAGGCCCAGAGAGCTGGGGTGTCACACAGCCTCTGCACACCCTCCCTGTGCTCCAGACTCTGCTCTCTGTGCAGGGATGGCACGAGAGGGTGTTTGTAAGAGAGAAGGCTGGTGGTTCCAACCTCGAACCTCCTTGAACCTGCCTGTGAGGTACCTCAGCCCGTGGGTGGCACGGGTCAGTGCTGCTGTATTGCTCACCACAAATCCCACCTGTGGGTCAAGGCATGATGAACTCTGATTTTGTATGTAACTCACTGGTGCATTACAGGTGATCGATCACCATGTCAGGGCTGGATTCACCTACTAAAGGATCTCTGTGCACAGGCCTAGGTAGATTTCATGGCAGGGTAAGTTCGACATAAGGAAAGCAGTACATTGCACAGTGACGCTGGAAAACAGTTTAGCTCCTCTGTGCATTATTCTGTGAGCTTTGATCTCTTTTGTTTACTCAGACTTCATATAAACAGATGTTTAGACTGTCTGTTTTCTGCTTACACCTGTGTATCATGTATGTGTAAAGAACTCTGTGTTATATTGCACCTGTAAGAAAATGGATCTGACTGACTACATCAGATCCATTATCGGGGTCAAAGAGTATTACCAGGCTCTAGGACCGTGTTGCCTACACCGTTGAATTGTCAGGGTAGTGCCTGTCCCAGTTTTGGCCTGGGCACTCTCCCAAGCAGTTCCAGGGCCGCTCTGGGGGTTAGGTCAGGCATTCCCAGGGGGCAGTGAGATGGGACCACCCTGTTTGGTATGGCAAGAGAGTTCAATAGCATCGCAGTGGGTTGTTTCAGGCCAGCTGGCCTTGGGGCAGGAGACTAGTGCCAGGCATATTTAATTTACTAGGATAGTAAATTAGTTGCTTCTGTGTTCTCAGAGATCCTAAAAGGGTGGCTAAACACTTGCAGAGACCTGTGGAGATTAAAGTCATCAGGAGAGACTTTCTGACTTTCAGAAGTGAGTGCTTGGAGCTGCAGGATCACTGGGTATTTGGACATTTGCAGCATTAGCCTGACTTTAAGAACATCCTGTGGGGAAAATCTGATCTCTCCATGTGAAAAAATAAGCTTTACCTTATTTCCACCAGACTTTAAAAAAAAACCCAAGTAAAATTAGAAACTTAGTCCTCCATTTCCATTTCAAATAAAAACAACAGAACTAGATCTGTCAAATTTTAGAAGATAAGAAGCCATACCTATCTGATGTGCTTCTTGGCTGCTTGTTGAGCAGCCCTGTCCTGCTGAAGCTCATACTAGGTCTGCTCAAAGGCAGGCTAAATGCCAAGTGGGTAGAGGAAGGTGACTTGGGCAGAACTGTACTGCTTTAGACTGCATCTGAATATGTCCTTCTTTGAACCCCTGAACTGCATTGTGCATCACATCTCAGACTTCAGTAGGACAGGGGGCTTTGGTGCAAGAATGTGCCGAACAGTTGTTCACACGGCCAAAGTGGCGTTTGTGTACGCTGTATGGGCATCTCTCCGCACCATACACAGTAGTGTGCAGCGATGAAGTCTTACATTACAAACAGTTCTAAAGAAAAGAACATGTGTCATTGTCTGTTTAGTACTTTTATTGCTCAGTAATTAACCCGGTATCTTTTTTTTATCATCATCTACTGCTACTTGGGAGAATTTCAAAAGGTCTAACTCATCCAGTAGCTACCACTGGCTGATTAGAAGCTTAACACATTTTTTCCTGCTACACAATCAATAAAGAACACTTTGGGTAATTGGGATATTGTTTTCTAGCTCCCACAGATCTGAGAGCAGCAACCCTTACCCAAAGGGGTCAAGAGATGTCCTCGCCCACTTTAGGCACATAGTAGTAATGATCACGGGGAAAAATCAGGTTAAAGGGAAGTACAGTTATTGCAAACATAAAGCTGTGCAGCTATATGTAACAGTAAATAGTGGCTATTCAGTCAAGCATCCCCATCTGCCTGTCCTTGCTAAGGCCTGAAACGACACAGACATTGCTCATATATGTCCCTCCATTCATTCTTGCGTTCATTCATTCATGCAAACCCAAGACCCCTCTCACTCGCAGAAACACCTCCTGCTGACAGCACTGCTGCTTATTCATATCAGGCCTTTGCTGCTGTCATGCTTCATTTTGAAGATGTAATGAGGCATTAATGCTTATCTTTGATGTGTGAACTGTGTCAAAATATCCTGTTCTTCTGAGCTCTGGATCCATCAGAATCCACCATAAAATGTGAACAAAATCGCCATTGTTTGAAAAATTGACATAGCCCCACTGCTAGAGCGTTTCAGCGGGCAGCAGGAAGCAAGTATGAGCAGCACTTACTGCGTCTCAACCCTTTTAATTGCTTAACCAGTTCCTTCTCCTGTCTCCTCCTGGTTTCTCAGACTCACACCGAACCTCCATCCTCTCTTGTTTTCTAAGTCCTCCTATTGTCCCACTTACCAGCTCTGCAGCGCTGCTCTGATTATGTGCCAGGCAGTCCCTGCTCCTCACCCAACTCACAGAGGCCAGCCAAAGACCTAGATATAATTTAGGCATGGTTTGGGGAAGATGGGAACCTTTTTTCCAGCAATTATTCCCTAAGTGTAATACATCCTCAGGAAGGCTTAAGTTTAGTGCTGATACCTAAAGCAACCCACCAACAAATGATTTGGGGAATGGTACCCACACAGTTTTTCTAAAACTATTGCTTCATCGACCAGATCGCATGACAGATGATTGTCTAGGCAGTATATTGCAGCACATTATTTGGTGGATACAACTAATTTGTAGTGGATTTCCTGCAGTATCGTTGTGTTACCACAGTTAACACATAGGGCAAAGATTTCTAAAATGGCAAGTGACACTGAGGGCTTCTGTTCTGACACTACTGAAACTCTTCAAAGAAATGTAATCGACGTTATCTGAAAAATCTTAGCACTTGTATGCTGAATTCACTTTGAAAAATCTGTGCATATGTTTTTGGTTCTCCCTAAAACAAACGAATTAACAAAAAGAGGCTCATTGGTAGATCCTGGAGTAGCAGCAGTATGTACTGGTTTTATTTTCTGCTTTTTGTATCAGAGTGAAATGGATGAGAATCAAATTCAGATGGCTGGAGATGATGTGGGTTTGCCAGAAGAGCTCCAGAAGATGGTGGAAGAAGACCAGGAGGAGGAGGAGGACAAGGACTCTATCCTGGCACAGCTGCAGAACATCCAGAATATGGACATGGATGCGATCAAAGAAAAGGCACAAGCCACCTTCACCGAAATCAAACAGGCTGCTGAGCAGAAATGTTCTGTGATGTAGAAGAGACACCACTATCCAAAGGCTGTGAATTCAGTCTTGTCTCGCAGGGGCTGCAGAGTGAGGTCACGCAGAGGAATGCACTTAGCTCTATAGCATTAACTGTACATATAGAAAAGTGAGAGAGAGACTTTAAAACCCCGAGGGGGGTGTCAAAATTTACCTGCTGTGACTGCTTAGTGCAAAGTTAGAACTGGTCCTCATTTTTTGACATAACATTTTTCCCCTTTGAAAAAACTGACTTCAAAAAAACTAATATTGGAGGAAAAAATGTGCCTTTTTCCATTTTTTTTTTCAAAAAGCGATCAGTATGCTATTAAATATGTATTTTTTTTAGCAAAATTGTGCTTCTGATGCATAACATATAGGTAACTGCTCATTTAAAACTGCTTTCAGAAATAAAGATATATTTCTAAGAAAAACATGTCTGTTTCAAACCTTTTGAAACAATTCAGATGTTGACATTTTCTACAAAAACTTTTTTTAAAAATGGTTTTGACCATCTCTGTATTAAATAGTGCAAATGACAAAAAGTGAAGCATATAGCTCTACAGCTTGGGACCAGGATGTCACCATCTATAGAACTGAGTGGGAACTTGTAGAAAACCAAGTCTTGGCAGCTCTTAGCGAACTGTGGTCAGTCAGCAATGCAGACGTCTCCAGGCTGCTTTCATTTCACAGCTTCTTGGTCTTGCAGCTCGAATGTCAAGTGACAGCAGTGTCCCTCTGCTTGGCTCCTCTGTGTGCCAAATTCTGAGGCTCAGGGTATGAGCAGATAACTTGCATAGGCTAAAATGAGCTCACCACATTTATCGTAGGAGTTACCTCTGTACGAGGCTATACGTAAATCTGGCCCACCTGGAAGATGATGCCAGGGTAGGGCACCTGAACCCTGAGAAAAGGCTTGGCTTGCACTAGGTCTAAATCTGAGTCTGTAGACAGGCAGGGCCCAGTTCAGTGGTTGTAGATTCAGGACCCAGCAAGATTTGCTTTGCTGTTTTTCAGAGCTTTTTCTGGGGAAAACCTCAGCAGGTGGTGGGCTGGTTGCCTCCCACTCCCCAAAAGTGGAGCTGCTGCTGGCTGACGGTGGGAGGTGGGAGGAGTGCGGCCGCACGCCCAGCAGCTGGCTGGCTGAGGGATGGCTGCTGCACCCCGCAGTGCTGCGGCCCGGGAGCCCCACACAGCCCGGGCAGGCAGCGATGGGCCAGCAGCAATCATCGCCGCCGGCCCGGGGAGCAGAGCCCTGTGCTTACAGCAGGTAGGAGCATCAGTCTGTCTCTGCGCTTGCATAGCCAGAGCAGTTGTCACCCATCATGACCCCCACAGAAGCTGCACAGGGATGGTGTTGACAGTGCTGCTCCCGAGGGGCTCAGATATTCTGTAAAATTAAGGACTTCGTAAATTCTTCAGGAACTACCCTGTGAATAAAATTTGCAAATGAATACACGTAGCACCTTCCTACAGGTTTATAAGTCTCTTTCTCTCTTTCTCTCTGATTCCACCCAGTTAAGTAAAAATACTAATTTTAAATGAATAAATGCACTAAGTATGGTTTGTCTTCCTTCCTTCCTTCCTTCCTTCCTTCCTTCCTTCCTTCCTTCCTTCCTTCCTTCCTTCCATCCTTCCCTCCTTCCCTCCTTCCCTCCTTCCTTTTCTGTATTTTCACTCTTATCTCTTTCTCCTCTCCACTCCCCTCCTCTCTCATTGTTTCTTCCTTAAGCCTGGTATCAGGTGTTGGTCTGTGAAGTGCAAAAGGTACAATTACAGTGCACTCCAGATGTGAAATCCATGCTGATCTGAGGCCCCTTTGCCTGGGCTGGGCCGCATCCCCCAGCCCCACGGAACAGCGGTGGCTCTGCCAAGCCCCAGTGACTGACCGTGACTTGCTGGGAGCAGCTGGGTGATCCAAGGGAGCAGCTTTGTGGAGGGTCCCATCACCCACAGGGAGGATCCACTGGGAGTTGCAGTGGCCAGCCAGGTGTCCCCGGTACTAGGCACAGGAAAAATGCCTGCCTTTGTACCTGGAAATGTAAACCAGGTCTTGTAAACACCTTTAGTGCCTCCATTAGTCACTCCCTGGGCACATTCACGATAACAGGACCTGTTCATCCTATCTGGCAGTCCCAAGAAAATACAATTACTTCTTCCTCGCTTCTTTCTTAAAAAATACAGAAGTTGTTGAGTTTACCTCCCTTGCTTTTTCCAGAGGATGCCCTGGGCTGTTCAGAGAGGGATGTCAGTGGCTCTTGTATTGTAACAGGTCATTTCTCTAGCGGAGAAGCCCTACCTTCAGCACGTTCGTCAAGCATCGGAGCAGGTAATGCTGACTCAATCTCAAACACTCTGCCTAAAACCACCAGGACTTTTGATCCAATTTCTGTCTCTTGGGTTCCTTCTCTCACATGTCACCAGAGAATTTAATTATCTATGTGGAAAGCCAAGTAGGACTTTTAAGAGGTCTTTACATAAAGTGGTTAAAATAGTCACCAGCTCAGCTCAACCAGCCTTTGGTTTGTAAGGCTCAATCCGTTTTCCTCCGTATTAATCTGGTAAGTGTCTCCATACTGTTCTGCTACTTTACAGACTGAATTGTCTTATCTATAAAATACCGAAGTAAACAAGCCTAAGGCTTTTGACCTTTGAATTAAAATGTGCCTGGGACATCCTGAAAATCTCACTGAAAGCAGCTGGTGGTTTAAAGGAGCTAATTAAATTCGTCAGCACATATAGGATCAGCATTTTCATGGTTTAAAGGGTCAGAGAAGAAAGTACAGTTAGAATCACCAAACAAGCGATTAATGAGATTCCAAAAAAATGTCAGGGCTGGCAGAGGCAAACGGGGCTGAGAGAGGGCTGGAGGCTGGCGTGGGACGGAGGCCCCCCCATGCACAGCGCAGGATGCTCCCCAGCCCTGGCAGCGGCTGCGGCCGTGCTGATCGGCTGCTGGGAGGGGAGTCGGCTGCCTTAGGCACCACTTTTAGAGCCAGCGACGTAAAACCTCTCAGTCTGGAGTGGCAGAGCTGGGCTACATCCCAGGAGGGGCTATTTTCTGAGCTCCTGAGCACAGTTTCCCTCTGGGGCTGGTGTCAGGGCTTTCCCTCTGCCCCGGGGCTGGCATCAGGCCGTGCACAGGAGCAGCAGGGCACCATAGGTCATGGCTGCGTGGGGGGCCAGCACCGTTGCCCCAGATCCCCCTGAGAGCCCCCACGTGGAGCATCGCAATGGCCCGGGCACAGCTTGTGTGTGCATGTGTGTGTGTGCTAGCACACATGTACAGGGATGCACTTGTACATGTCTCTGTGTGTGTTGTGTGTGCGTGTCTGTGTTACGTGTGTCTCTGCGTGCGTGTTGTGTGTGTGTGTGCCGCATGGAAGAGGAGCAGATTAAAGCGTTAGGTCACATGGGAGCTACCGCTGGATGGACCCCACCTGGGATTTGGGTTCTTATCGTTAATAGGATCGCTGGAGCTCAAGGCTGTCATCCCATCAAGATAAATGCCTCTAGTGCCCACTTTTAAGCAATCCGAATTCAATTAGGCTAATTGGAAAACAAGTAAAGAAGGATTGCATTAATGCAGCCTTACAGCATGAACCTCCACGCCTTTCCTGCGGAGGGTGGCTGAGCGTGGCGAGCCTCGGTGCCGGAGACCTTGCACCAGGGCCGCCCCGCTCCCGGAGCAGCCGCCGCTCACTCCTGCCCGTAGCCAGGCTGAGCACCAGCCGCAGCTCGGTCCACGTGTGCTCGGGCACTGCGCCGCGCAGGAGTCGGCTCAGCACTCTGCAGGGTTCCTGTGGGCTACAGGGTGCCTGGTAAGAGGTGGACAAACACAGCTGACTCTCCCAGGGGCAGAAAAATCTCACCAGAGAAAAAGCAGGAGGTGACTGTCAAGGCATGTGTGATGCAGTGACGGAGGAGGCAGCAGCTTCCTCACACAGCGTGCTTTCAAAAAGGTTCTTAAACTGCACCCTTAGGAACTTCTGGGGAGAAAAGCAAAGCCAGTTCTTTCAGACTTTAACAATCTGTTGGATGGTACAGAATATGCAAACTGCAGCAGGATGCAGGTTCCCACTGGGCAAACATTTCCCCCTTTTCTTCACTCCCCCTTTCCCTTGCCCCCTCCCCTTGTCGATTTGCTGTCTGCCCTCAGAAGTCCTGTTTATCTTTCAGGGAGGGGCTCCCTGCTGCACATCACTGGTCTGGAGAGCCAAGTCCCACCTGCAGAGTGACTTCAACTTCAAATGTCTGCTCTGCAAGGCAGTAATTATTTCAGCTTGACAGAAAGACAAGACAGGATGAAAGGAAGCAAGAATCTGTGGCATTTTATGATGCTGATTTCATGGTGCGAAGACACGTCCCGTACGTAGGTCTCAGAAGCACCAGTGGGATCAAAACTATTCCCATTTAGTCTTCACTATCCATGCATGGGAAGGAGGTATAGCAGACAGCTGTGCTCTAGAGGTTGTCCAACTTGAGAATTTTCGTTAGCTTCCAAACATAATTTCAGCAGTAATTGTTGTAATAATACATTGCAAAAAACTAAAAAAAGCGATGTGGGATCCATACCCTGCTCTGGGGGGTGGAAGTGCTTTTGCCGTACACTGTGATTAACAGCAAAAAGAATTGAGTCTTATCCCTGTATTTGACATTTTTGACAGGTGCCCTCAAAGCAGCCTCTGTGCCAGGACCCAGTGCCCTTTGTGCCACTTCCTGCCAGACCAGAGCCTGGCTAAATGGGTTTTGCTCCTTCCTCTCGCCTTGATATCTTGCTACAACAAGCAAAATCGATTCCCAGGTTTGTCCAGGGCTTCTGGAGGGATAGGCATGTTTTGTGCTGGTTGTGAGTGCCATAAAACCCCAGCTCCAAATTAGAAGAAATTAGGGACATTGCACAGTCCATTCAACTTCACTAATAGAGTTCTTGGGAAATACACATGTAGATTAAAGGAACACAATGGACTCTGGCTGATTGCTTTGAGTACCCTCCAATGCCCCTACAATGGTAGTGACTTGCTTTTCATATCGTGCACAAAAGCCACACTAACCTTTTCTTGTCTCTTCTGTTGGCCTCTTCCCTCTTTGCCAACGGATGGCTGAGTTCTTTCGGCCCCAGCCCACCCCCGTCAGAAGCAGTCAGTGAAGGCAAACCTCACCTGGAGCTAGCAGGAAAAGCTGAGCGCTTCTAAAAGGCATTCACTTTGGGACATCAGACCGTAAACCTTAAAGAGGGGTGGGCACTGGCAATCTTTGTTTTGAAGCGATTCCTCTGGAAAAATCTACACAAAATGCATCCTCTTGTGGTGGGGGAGAAGCAAAAATGAAGATTTGTTGAGAGAGGTCATACTTTTTGTTAGACTATCTAATATATTTGGAAGAAGCAGCAGCAGTGGTGTTTTTTACTCACATACACTCTCATCAGGCTTGAAACAGAAGCATCACCAAAGCTAACTGCAGGCTGAAAACCACTCTGGACGTGACTGTGTTTGTCCCTGAAACCATCTGGGATAAAAGATGGCTGGTGTCTCAGAGGAACCAGCAAGTGCTAGCAAAAAACCTGACCGAGTGACGGGAAGACAAAAGCAGAAAAATACTGATGCAGAAAAGACTGTGCTGGAGGCAGGAGACGTGGTGCTGCTGCCTGGTTCGTACTGTGCTGAGCCCATGTCCTGCCCCAAGCCAAGTGCAAAGCAAGGTGTGGGCTTTGGCTCTCTGCCTTACTTCCAAGAGCGGTTTGTGCATCTCCCACGGCGCCATGCCCTGCCCTCCGGCCTCGCAGCCCCACTCACGCCGTGGACGACAGCGTCACAGCACCGGCTCTTCTCACAGGGACTGTCCTATACCAACACATCGGGCAATTTCCTCAGAACTCTTGCCTAGCGCTTTCCCCTGACTCCTGCAGGCCGGAAGGCAGAGCCACCTCCTTCACATGTCCCCAGCATCCGTTCTCGCCAGGGGCCCGCGCGCGTCCCCGCCGGGTCTGTAAACCCGGCTTTGAAGGCAGCCAGATGCCGGGACAAGGGACCGGAGCATCGACTTTTTACCC